TTTTCGACCGGAAGGAAGCATTTGATAAAGCTAAAAATTAGATTTTCATGATCAGCAGCTCACGCTCTATCAAATGGTGTAAAAACAACGTGACAAGAATTTTACTTGAAGTTTGAATTGCCTGCAGCTTACTAACAAAGGATCATATTCAAATGTCGAACGACGATCCAAGCTATATTTTGGCCATGAGTAGACTTCAGTGAAATTAAGGAAGCTATAAAAAGGTCTGGGCTCATGATCTATTAGCTGATAGTTATGACGATTTTGTTGAATTTTCAGCCTATTTGTAGACATTATGATTCTTGAGATATTCTAAAAATTTTCGTTCAAGCGAACGTTCCTTTGTTGAAATATTGAATTATCGAAAATTAGTTTATTGTCCCAAACACCGAGTTTACGCGAAAATCCAATATTGTGACCAAAGAAGGTTCGTTTGCGCTACAAATATTTAGACTATCTCAAGAATTATCATATGTATCTCATGAGCAAAGTTTTAGATAGAAACTTCGTAGTTCGACTTTCTAATGAATCGTTACAGATAGACCGAAAATTTAGTAAAATCTTCATAACTCATAGCTAATAAGCCATATGCTCGAGTTCTTTTAGAGTTTATTCTCACTGAAGTCCAGTCATGACAAAAATATAGCGTCGATTGACCACTGACATTTGAAAATGTTTCCTTATAAGTAGACACACATAATTCTCAGAGGCTTGAAAAGTGCCATTAAAATAATAAAACCGAAATTAGTCTTCATGCATTTCATTTTCATCAAAATAATCTAATGACTTTGATCAGAAATTAAATTCACAGAATTTTTTAAGATTAACATGTAGATTTTCATTGATGAAAACGAAATACATTGAAAATAAATCATTTTAATTAATAGGATTTTTTCAGTCCTTCGATGTTGTATAAATGAAAAAAAAATGAACTGATATACACAACTTTCTGAGACCGGTAACAGTCGACTGACCTAATTGACTCAATCGGTTCGGTTTTAACAATGATTCATATCTTTCAAAGCTTGATTTTGAAGTTACAGAATCGTATACATTTCCATGTCACTAACAGCAAACAAGAATCGAAAAAGTAAAGCTTTTTATTTGCTTAATAATTTAGATAAAATGGAAGCAACTGATTCACAATTTTCCGAAGAACCTATGAATTATATAGTCATTCGATTCGACCGTTTTATTGATTATCAAAGCAAAAACTATAGTTTAAATTCGAAATTTTCAAGTACTACTGATTCACAAAATGAAATGGAGCCCAACGTCTATGCTCATATGGCTGATACTTTTCATGGTCCAACTGATATCAAACAATTTGGTTCTGGGGAAAGCCATTTTTCATACCATTCATTCAAAGATATAAGGTCACTTTTTCAATGTATGGAGATAAATAAAGACAAACATATTTTTTTAATTATCTCTTCATCTATGGAAGAAAAAGAAATATGGATGTTTATTCAGCATTATCGCCTATTAAACATGGATAAACCCTGGCGATGTAGGCTCCTATCAATTTATGTTTTGAACGATCGGTTCGATGATAATTTTTTAGATCCCTGGGCTAAGTACTTCCCTGCCTCTATACAAAAGTTTCCTGACGAAAATGATTTATTTACATATTTGGAAAAAGATATTCGAAACTTCGTAGAAAAGAACAAATATAACCTGGAATGTAGATCCAAAGATGCTGCTGATACTAAGACGTTTCGTCTTTATGATCGCAAAACTGAAAGTTTCCAACGCAGTAAAATTACGAAAGACACACTAGAATTAAACGAATATCCAGAGAATGTCGTCAAAACATCAACTTCCTCGAAATATTATTCTTGTGAGTAAAACAGGAGCGATTTAAAGTCCTAATCAATGGTTGATTGATCATTTGGAGAAGGCAATAGATGTGGACAAAATAATGCTACTAATGAGTGTCCTAGAAATTTCATTTGAAATCGAATTTGTCAGTCTATTTTATTTGATTTAAATTCAATTTTTAGGTGAAGTATTTGAAACAATACCAATGTTTTTCCATGAACAAATCCCGAATTTCTCATCAGTTTCTTTGGATCCGACCATTGTTCAGTCAATTGAATGTAATACCAACGAAGAACTCACGAACAGAATTTCGAAACTCGATTTCAACTGTATGATTTTCGTTGCTTCCATCAAAACGCCATCCGAAGAGTTACTATCGAAAAATCACTTAATTCGATATTATCTTTTAACAGAACCCAAAAAACTAATTGAAAAGGAATTTGAAGAACGCGGAAAAATTCGTTCTGTCAGTTCAGTTAGTCATCTTGTAAATGAACTTTACAACGATTTAAGTCAACATTATCATAATGCAGCTAACCTTTATTTAAACAAAAATGCTAATACTGATAAAGCAAAAGATTTTCTCGTTAAAGCAGATCGGTGTCATCAATTACTTCTATTAGAAAATAAAAAACGATTAAAACGATATGCGGACATTCTCAATACTCAAAATCTTGATCAACAAAAACTGATTGACAACAAATCTTCAATCAAGCCAGATGCAAGTGAGTGAGGAACTATATTAAACATATTAATTGTAAATGAACTTTATTTATGCATTATATTCTATTCTTCATTGAAATAAATCGTTTCTATCAAGTACAAATTTTTGATTTTTTTTCAAAGAAAATGGTCAGTGGAAGTTTTGCGATTCCATCTCTCTCCCTTCTTTATCAAAAAGAAACAAGTTTTCTTCATTAGGTCGAAATACAATTAAAACAAAAAGTATCAATTGACCGAAATACAAAAGAAAAGACTAAGTTAACAATTCATTCAATGATGAAATGTATCGCAGTTATTATAAATTAAGAAAAACGAACAAATATCAAATCTATTTCAAATGTCAAAAGAATTACCTATTGAGTGTTAAGATAAAAGAATGCTTTTTTTAATTATTAAATCTATAAATTTTAGCTTTTTTAGATGAACATTTTTAAAGAATAAGTTTAGGTAAAGATTAATTGTAGAAAGAAAATTCTTCTTTATCATTATTATCAAATTTAGGATGTTTGTCTGAAAATGGTAAGAAATTTGTGTCTAGAATCAAAGAGATTTGAAATATTTAATTTCTCTTTGTTTAGACAATGGATTTTTCTAGAACTACTGGTCCAACCGGTTTATTTGAAGATCAACCGGCTGGTTTTATCACTGATGTCAATCAACACATCACTAATCCACTTACACAATTACAACCATTTGAAAAGATCATCACTGTTTTTCGCAGTCAATCCCAAATTATCAATGAACTTACAAGACTTCAGAGATCATGTGTCATAACATTGATTTCATCTGAGATTACTTCACGTGAAGTGCAGAATTTTGTTGATAATTATCTTCATCCTAATCCAACAGTTGATTCCTATTACTTACTTTTCCCCGATAGTGATAGTCTTCATACACAGTGGACAAATCGTTATGATTTTCGTTTAAAATGGTGTGGTCCGATTGGAGAAAATTTTCTAAGGACTGTTCTTGCGGCTTGTTCAACGACATGCGCTCTAATGATAAGCTATTTTGAAAGACGTGCTCAGCAATACGAGTCTCAAGGTGATATTAGTTTGGCTTATCAATGTTCTATAGAAATAGGAAAACTCCTCAAGATTCAACGCCAATATATCGATGATTATCTGCAGTATCTCAACTCAGCATCAACAACATAGAAACATCTATTCTTTCATGATGAGTTATGAATATCTGTTATTCAGAATTTCTTTTCTATGAAGGACGATTTGAAATTAGTTTCGTGAGAAAATCTTCACTATGGCGGTGCAATGATTGTGGAGATATTCAATGGTTTTCTTTTTCTTTTTGAATAATAATGAATAAAAATAAATACATCAATTTTTCTAATCGCGAAAGAAATAATACATTGATTATTCGTATTAATGTCGTTCGTGTGTGTTTTCTTTCAATTAAATATTAATTGAATATGGCTTACAAAATAAACAATTGTCATTTTCTCTCATGATACCTTCCAGGTAAATATACGATAATTATGTCATCGTTTGCTAAAACAGTAGACTTATTTCTTAGAAAATTAAGTCCAATACGTTGGAAAAACACGTATAGAATTTCATGTTTTTTCATTGGATATGTATATCGATTTACAATAAAATTATAATTTCAAAGTCCCCTTGATATAATTAAGGTACATTGATGGGTACCATAACATTTTTTTTAAGAATTTTTTTATCTAAATTTTTTCAGCTATATAGATGTATAGTTATTAGAAAACACGTACGGAGGAAACCAATTGTGGACTTCTATAGAACAATCTGGGACGTCTAGATCATTCTTTAAGAACATGTATGCGTAAATATCATATATTCATCATGATATTCAATCACACTTTTAAACAGTTGTTTTTCTAATTGTTTCAAAATAGACAGATGAAAAATGATCTGAATCATATGTTTAGATAAAATAGTTGAAGCCTTCAATACAACAATCTCGCAATTCTATACGGTCATGTTTAGAAAAGTGTATATGTATGAATCCAAGAAGATCATTAATTCATGAATTTATGTAATTTTACTGACATATTCTTTTTTGAAGAAGTTCAAAATGAATTCAAACTATACATTCGGCTGTGTCACGGGATAGATGTGTGTGGGTGTGGGTAAAAGCGTGAGTAAGAATGTGGGTTAGGGAGGAGGGTAAGAGTGTGAGTAAGGGTAAAGAAAACATTCTCACTCTCATCCACTTATCCTCACTCACCCTCAAGATAGATTATACAACTGAATTCAACTCTAAAGTTCTCCACTACTGAGACTGGCGAAATTAAATTGTATTATTGCCGAAGGATATTGACGTGTTTAAGGGTGTGGGTGTGGGTGGGTGTGGGATGTGCTTGTGGGGTGGGTGTGGGTGTTTGGGTGGGTGTGCGTGTGGGGATCTGTTTTTTCCGATACCCATTCACACCCTCACACCCACACCGACACCCATGCTCTCACCTCACCCACACCCACACCGACACCCATGCTCTCACCTCACCCACACCCACACCCACACCCACAAAACCCACACCCACCCGCACCCATCCACACCCACACCCACGCCCACACCCACCCACACCCGCACCCACCCACACTCACACCCACACCCACTCACACCCACACCCAAATCTTTTTGCATTGAATGTAAAAAATATTGAAATTGTATGATCACATATCAAAATACAAAAGTTAGAAAAAAACTAAATTATTTGTCATTGAGTCGTTTTGATATAATTGAACAGTAAAAAAAAACAACTATCCTCAAAAGAAAACAAGCAGTAAAAAATGCTCATAATGAACTTATCGAATTAATTGATAAACAAAGAATAACAATAATAAAATCATTTGAATCAATCACAAAAGAAATTCATTGTCTTTGAGAAGAAGTAAATTTTGCTCAAGATGATATTGATCGACTTGAACAAATCATTGAAATACCAAAAAAAACGTGAACAATTTACTCAGAAAGATAAAAATTGTGAGTACATTGAACTAAAATCTTTTGCTCGTTTAACTCCAACGAGCTTTAAGATAATTGAATAATTTTGTATTTGTTTTTCCATTTTAGTTTTTCTAATTATTTCAAATTCTAAAAATTTCACTTTCAATGCAGCGAGGAATCTTGACTCTATTTTATTTGATATTATTTAACTTCATTTTATCAACACTTCAACTTCATCGAAAGAAATGGGAACCTGTTTGTTCTAAATTAAAATTGAACGTAGAAGCAAGTTCACTGACGAACTATGTTACAAGAGATCTATTTCATCGATGAAAATTGCATTATTTTGTTAGTTGATCAAGTTTAGAGATTTTTTAAGAATTCATTTTAAATATTATTGAAAACATGAACAGATTCATGATAGAGAATTATTGAATACTTGAAAAAAATATAAATTATTTAAATAGTTCAACGATTAACATAAATTTATACTCGATTTTCTAAGGTTACAAAAAAACTATCATTCGAAGAATTTATTGACATGAAACTTTGATCGAAGAATTTTTTCTTCTATAGTTTTGATTGTTAAGAAAAAAATTGATGAAAGAACTGTCGATACAGAAAAAGTATGATTAATTTCAATTGAATATTTTTATGTCAGATACTAAGTTGATAATAAAAGAGTTTTAAAAGCTCCTTTACTGCTTAGTTCGATCCCCATTTGAAATAAACTAAAGTTACTAATTTAAGAATCAGCGATAAATTCTGAAAACTCTTATTCGTCTATATCAAAAGACAAATCGATTTTGTCAATCTTCGAATTTGGTTTTTAAACACAAAAAATACAATCACATAATAAGCAATGCTTCATGTACTTCATTCAAGAAACAAAAAACAATTTTTTACAAAATGATTCAACTGGAAAACTCATGAAAACTTTAAGATTACTCTTAGTAAAATCATCAAATTTAGTTTGTAAATACACAGAATACTTGTGACTAATATTTTCAAGTTGTATTTCTACAGAATTCATTACTTCTAACGATATGGACCTATATTTATTGGCAAAACATTTGACTAATATGTTTATATATGGAAACCTTCTTGTCATAATTATAATTATTTAATTTTTTTTGAATTTAAGTAAGATATAACTTGACTTGCTAATTGATTATTAGTACTTATATTTCTTGTTAAGTAAACGATTAATACATTTTTTTAATATTATCAAAGGTTTGCTTTTGATAGGAAATATGATTATAAATCTTATCTCTTAATTTTATATTATTTTTTTCGTAAGTCTAATAATTCCTCAAAATATGGTAGAAGACATCTAAATATTTGATGAAATTCTTTTAAGGAAGTTTCTATTTCTGCAAATTTTTTGCAATAAAATCTACAATTATATCTAAATTTTTCTAAACCATTTCGTTTGTGGTTGTAATATCTTTACTTTTTTAGTGGTTTTACATAATAAAAAAAAGCTCTTTTCTATCGGAAAAGTCTTTTCAGTTTTATGATGATTGTAAAGAATCATCTGAATTCGAACCAGTTAATTCAAAAAACGTATTTACTCATGTTACACAATCTGGATATTTCTTGTCACTAATTAAGCTACTTTTTTCTGCTATAGTCGAAGGTATTGCATGGTGTAATCTATCTTCAAAAATTTCAAAACTTTGACTGAGTTTTTCTTGATAAAGCAATAAATTGAAAGAGTACTCTTGAAGAGTTACAAGCATTTATAAAGAATGTTCAGGAAAAACAAGGTTCGGGCACATTTGGACTCATTCAGGTCCGATCTGACAGTTGCTGTTCTAAAACTAGTAGCCAATTATGACTGCAGTTTTATAAAATCACTGTCAAAATTTCATGATAAAGGTATAGAGCACGTTAGTCGCGGAATACGAATCATTGAAAATAATATCTTGTATCATTGGCGTGACTATCAAGTTCTATCTGAAAATTTTCATTGAGAACACTACGAATACCGATCAAGTTCGAATCGTTTGAAGTTTCTGCTGGTCCCTATCTACTGTTGCACTAACTTCAAAGCGCTCTCCTTTTATTTTTTCGGCATTATCTCGAACTTTTTTAACGGCGACAATACACTCTTTTACTTCATTGTGCCGTTGTATTTCATAAATATTATCAACACCGTCGGAAATTTCGTCAAATATTTTAATGGTAACGAAAGTTTTTGTTAAATTCTCAATGTAACTATCAATTTGTTTTGATATTCTCTTGACTTCCAATAAACTATTGTTTAATTTTTTCAATCTTTTCTTTACGAGAAAATTCTTACGTATAGAAAATTTTTTTCAATAACTTCCAAGGGTTGTTATCACAAGCCATGGGCATACAGTTGCATTAAACTTCAGTTTATAAATACATTGTTCGATTACTCCTGTAAATGAATTTAACTTTTCTCAAAATACATTTTTCAAAAGTAGAACTTATAGTATAAATATATCTTGAAGAATAATTAAATTAATATAATCTTTATTCAATAGTCTTACTATACAAGTAAAATTTCTTTTATAATTCGATTTACCGTATACTTAAATTCATTTCGGTAGCAATTTTTTCTATTTCGCTTCTATCTTCCCAATCGTTGAACTTATGCTTATCAATCAATCGAGTTTTTTCATCTATTCAGATATTCTCTAAATTAATGTTTTTTTCCTACAATACTTTTTAAACTACCAATCCTACCATTCCTAAGCCAAAGACTATCTTTCAAAAAAATAAGCATTATAATCGTCACTGTCTTGAATTCTCGTCAAGAACAATTGTTTTTCCAAATATTTTAGTAATATTATTTTGATCAGAATTCAATACAAAAATAAAAATCATATTCAATCAATAATAAAAGCTATTTTTTCTCATAAGGGTTTTCCTTATATCAATTGATACTATAACTTTTTTTCTAATAAATTCTTGAAATTATAATTTATTTCATAGAAGGGAAAAATTCTTCCAAAAATTTACTTTTTTTTCATAAAAAGCGATAAATAACTTGACGATAACGTTCTTGAAGTAGGTCATATCCTATAAACTAAGGAATATCTTTTAAATTTTGATCAATGTTTAAATATGCATCTTTATCTGCTAATATGTCAAGTAATGCACCAAAAACAAAGATTTGTAGTTTTATTATAATAAATATACTGTAAAAAAGACACTCAAAATTGATTTTATACACATATCTAATTTAAAAAAT